AAACCATTATCGAAGATCCAGACAACATCATAAAGGATTTTAAAACTGTGAGGTTAGGTTTTACTTTATAACAAAATCGATATATACTGCGCTCACTTCAATGACCGCACAGACAAGATCGTGGTTTATTTCACTGTTTATTTCTGCGACTGTAGCTTCGGTGAAATTCCGATTGTGCCGCAGCTGTTCGGCTCTTTCGGTCTGTTTTCCCCTTGCCTCATAGAAGATTTATTTGCGCATAAGGATTTCAAACGGGCACTGTTTTCAAAATAGTATAAACTTGTCGATGAAAGTAAAATTGTTATGAGAGACGATTTCTCACCTTGCTGTTTGCACGCTCTCCCCCTTTGCCGGTAACAAAGTCCATCAAATATATAAACACTTCTAATGGACGAATTATTTTTTAGTTAAGCAAATCCAGGTATGAACTACAGATCTCTTTCACCATGAGATAAATACATACATATAAACCAAACAGTACATAAAATCTTATGAGAAGCAGGAAATTAGTCGCCGCTCAAAGTCGGCTAGATCGCACGATCGTCTCCGAATCGCGATAAACTTCTTGAAATTGTCTTGTGAAGCCAATAGCAAGCATCTAAGGCCACTATGAGATATTGAAAATTCTCGAAATCGCTCTCTTCAGTAATGTTTTTCGGAAAAGGCAGCAGTGTTTTGATCCCCGGGTTTGATTCATTTCTCTTACGAGATGCAAACTCGACCGTGTCACGATTGAAATGAGGCACAGTAACAGTTTTACCCATGAACCTTTGTGGGTCGTGACGCACACTGCCTGGCTAGCAGTTAAATCCAGATTTCCTATTTTCATTGTCGTTTTTTTTTTTAATTTTCGTCACTCGCATTTTCCTGTGTAAGTGTGGGGGTACAGATTTTGTAGGAATAGACCAACAGGACTTGACAGTTTAACTTGGTCTAATCTTCTTCTGTGTAGCAGTGACGAGCTTGACCAGAACTAAAACTGAATATATCCTAGCTTACAGAGTGCTTAAGAAAGAGCGATAGCATTCATGTGCGAAAATAGGTGTTTAGGAGTGTTTATAAATATAGGATCAAAAGAAACCGTAATTGAACTGTTTCCGGCTGCTACTGTGAAAATTTTGCATTGAAATCGCTAGTCAGAATGGTGAAATTTTTTCTGAGATTTATCAAAACAGATTTTAGTTTTAAGTTAGTAAAGTGAGTAAAATTCGCTTAAAACTGATTCAACTTAGAACAGAGAAATTAAGAGGTGTGAAGGCGCGTAGCTCAACCCAAGTTTTAATGAGTTGGAGAAAACTGATTATTATGCGAACTTCGAAGTAGAAGTGAACGAACGTACCACTTGAACAAACGAAGATCGTAAATTACTTACTATTTCGATATCGCAGCTGCAAACGCCTTTCCAGGAAGGGAATTTGGTTTCTAATAACACTTACCTTCGTATCCTGAAGACAGTCTGTGAAGATAGTTTTAAGGAGGTCTCAGAGGTGTTATAAAACTTTGATTGAAAACTAAATTGCAAAACACTAACTAAGGACCAAATTTTCTCGTTACTAAGAATTACCGCGCAACAACTAATTAATTAACCTTTTCTTTATTTAATTTAAAGACTTGAAGTTGAACCGGCACTTCTCGACGACCGGAAATACGTCTGCTGTTCGCAGGCTATTATTCGAGGTGGTCCTTAATGCCACTATAGCTCTACCCAACAACCCGATGTCATGTTTGTGTTCTTGTTTTTTGAAAGCGCGATGAAGTAATAAAATAAAATGAAGGAGAGTTGTGAAAGTTGAAAAAAAAAAAAAAAAAAAATGTGCAACTACATAAAGTGGTAAGTTTTATTATGTGCTTTGCCTTTCAGAACCGTATTTTTTTCTGTTTTTCTTCGTGCAGCCATGAGTTAATTTATGGTGAATAATTCAGTAAGTTGTGGTAAAAAGATGTGTAACGTTAGCCAGCAGTCTGGGTTGGTTGGATTAGTTATTCCAGAAAAATCGACATCCCTTCCCCCCCCGCAATGGAAGCCACAATATTTTTTATCCCTTATTACACCCCTGATTTCCAAAACTTGTTGATGAGGCCCCTCTCCTCAGTATTTTAAGTTCAAAGAGACTTCACCCCCTCCCCCATCCAGATTGTTTTCATTGCAGAAGAAGGTTCTGTTAGATGACCCTTTTATTAAATAACTCTAAAATTAATTTCTTTGTGAACTTTGTGTTTGTGGTGAAAGTTAATTTTTTTTCATTTTCTAATTGTCTTACGCATTTTACAAACCAGCTGATGTTTCAGAGAACTTCTCTTGTTTTCTAAACCAACCAAAATATACAGCACGATACACATTACAACTGACTCAAGAGGTAATATGATGTAATCTGTACCCCCATATTATTAGGTGATATACAGATGCAATGACTACATTTTAATTCAGTCGTATAGCCATTGCAACTTAGTAGTCAAGAACTGTAATAAAAACATTCAATTTAAACTAGTAATTGCCTGAACATACTTCGTGATCCTTTTGTTTTACTTTGCCAAGTTGACATTTTAGCATACCCACATGAATTAAGACGTTTCCTTTGCATTTTATTAATGAGCTATCCTTATGGTGTGGTGAGGTCATTACTGGTACTTGCGTGAACATGTTTCGCATAAATTAAGCAGGTTTCCCGCGCATTTTAGTTATGAGCCACAAATTGGCTGGTACTTAGCTGGTACTTGTCCAGGCCGAAAATGCTGGGACAACACTACTGTTATTGACCTTTTAATCTATATTCTTTGATTGGTTAGAGAACGAGCCGATAAATTCAAAATGCGGGTGATCTTTAAAATTGACAAGGTTGCAATAGACACAGTGCAATCAGTTGAATGAGGCCCGTCTATCGGTATGGGTTGAAAAAAAATGCGTTTACAATATATCAGTCTACGTCAAGGGCAGCCCTGAGAACGCCTTTCAGCGTCTTGTTTCCATTGTTTCACCTCAGTCGCCACCAACCCAACAAGACCATTGTTTAACTCGCACCAGCAACACATTTCTATTGTTTTTCCTCGTCATGTCCCTCCAACGCAATTCTGTTTTTTTGTCCTCACTACCAGCCACTCACAAGACGTAACGTACATCTCAAGTTTTTGTAAGTGCGAGTATCGTGGCAATAGATAATAGAGTTCAGTGAAAAAACAACGTACGCTGTCTTTGGAAATCGTCGGTATACACTGTAGTTATACTTACATTTTCATATCAGTGTGAAGGTGTCTCTTTTTCATCTACTCTACGTGCAATAACCTTGAAATCTTCAACGTTGCGAGACATCGGTTTCTTGGTTATCTCAGACACGTAATTCTGAGCCTTAATATTCGTCAATATCGTTCAAGCGTTCGCCAGCTTTGACCAAAGCAGTCAAACTGTTTGTAACTTATCAATTGTACCCCGGTCTGTAGTATTCTAAAAGAACGTCTGGGAGAGTAATATCAAGGGCAACCGAAATACTGCGTCAAAAGTCTTCTCCTCGTCCGCTTGTGGAGTCAGGAATCAGAGCTTTGGAATCCAACCCAGGGCTCAAGGAATCCTGACTCCAAGATCAAAAGCACCCAACGAGAATATAGTTCAAAACCACTTAAACATAGCATTATTAAACGTATTTTAGTATCTAAACGGTAGATATCTGGGCATATTTTTATCTCCTAAAAATTTTTCATCTGTTCAGATTTCCTAGCTGAAAGTCTAGTGATCCGAAAATTATAGGGATTAAAACTTACCTTTTCGAAAATTTCAGCCAAAAAAACGGTCGGCTCCCGAAAATTCTAGGTGACCTTTTTAGGGCAAAAATCCGTTTAAGATGGGCAATTACCTTATTATAGGAAATTAGCGCTCCATGATTCGCGTTAATTTTGTTGAGCGATAATTTCCGCGACCTTAATTAAGTGCAGCGTTAATTTCCGCGCTCTTAATTTCCACCATCCTCGGAGACCCAGGGGCAGATAGTGGGGGCGAGGGAAAGTCTAAACGGGCGGAAAAATATGTCACGAAGAAAAGTAAAGAACGGCGAGAAGAGCCCCTGGGGACAATGTCTTACCAGACCAGTTCCAAACGGTCGCCGCCGTTCTGACTTCTGATTGCTGCCAGAAAACTTTTTGTGTTTTCTGCCCAATCAGAAGGCAGAACGGCGGCGACCGTTTGAAACTGGTCTGGTAAGACATTGTCCCCAGGGCTCTTCTCGCCGTTCTTTACTTTTCTTTCTGTACAATATTTTTCCGCCCGTTTAGACTTCCCTCGCCCCCACTATCTGCCCCTGGGTCCCGAGGATGAATTTCCACTATTTTAACCCCAATTTTGGAACTTGTCCAGACATTCTTGACACCTAAAAACGTAATTAACTACAAACTTTCACAAAAGCTAGGGCGAAGGTTTACAATATTTCGGTTCATCTTCATCGTTGTCACTGTCAGATGTGATGTCAGCTCAGTTTTGTTCAGTTTTGAATTTTTTTGCATCCAGTGTTGAAATAAATTTGTTCTAGTTGTCACCACCTTGTCTTAATCGCGTTAATTTCCTTTATTATAAAATTCTACCTCCTCTTTCGAGTTAATTTTCTTTATTCGAAAGTCGTTTTCCATTAAATTCGCGTTGATTTAAGTCGCGTTAATTTCCAATACCTTTTATGGAGCGTTAATTTCCTATAATAAGGTATACCAATTTTTAGATGTTCGAAAATCCTAGGGAGGCAGACAAGCAAGAAATTTTACAAAAATGTTCCGATAATTCTAGATCTCAAATCGTGCTTCCAAACAGATATTTTCCGAAAAATGACGTTGGGTGCCCCTGCAAGATCTACTGGTAAGAAATACGGAATCTAGTCCCTAGAATCCGTAACCCACAGCGTGGAATCTAGACTGTCAAGACTGTCTTGCGTTACACTACATGGCACCATTTATGCGATTAACATTTTCCTTTTCTCTTTTGTAGCAGTAGTCCATGTGAAGAAAGCTATACAACTGACTAGACAATGGTTTTACGAAGTGTTAGAACAGGTGTTCTCATCTGCCTTATTTTAGCCCTCTCCGCCATGCTGATACTCATATCACATGTGATCTCGGGAAGGGGAACTTCGCTACCTTGGTTCTACAAAACCTCCCCAGTCTCAGTTAGCAGCCACAGCACCGCAAGACCTGTGGCAAACAAAGAGATCTTAGGGACAACAAAGCACACCCCAGATACCTCAATAAGTGTGTTCGTAAGGATGTCTGGCAAACGACCAGATCACAGGCAGCGTTATTTGTGTAACGTTTTCAGGACTTCCGTTCTCTTCTGGCCTCCTTCCTTTGGAAATTTAGTCGTAGGACTTGATGAAGAATCACACGAGGATCATGAATTTGCCGAAAAATTAAAAACACTTGCCCAAAAATACTTTCCTGATCGTAGACTTGAATTCTTTTATGAGGCCCTTCCAAAGGACAAAGGAACTCTGGAGTTTCAAGGCTCGCCTAAGACACCCGGTTATAACAGACAACTTTGGAGCAGTTTTTTCATCGACCTACTTTCAAATGACACCGTCATTGCTTGGATGGACAGTGACTCAGCCTTTTTTACCCCAGTAACTAAGTCCACAATTTTTAATGGGACAATGGTACGAGCCTTAGGCTCCGCCTGCACATTCTACAGGAGCTGGGTATATAACTGGGCAGATACTACTAAACGGGCGCTAGGATTACCATTTGTCGCTGATTTTATGACGTATTTTCCGGTATATATGTACCGAGACACGGTCACTCACTGCAGAGAGCATATCCTAAAACATTTAAATACAAATAACTTTGAGGAAGCCTTCAGAAAGTTTTACACGACTTTTATCTCTCCAGTCAGCGTCATCCTCTCTTATGCATGGTACTTTGAGAGATCGCTATGA